TATTATAGTAACTCTTTCACTGATTTGACACATAGTTTAAGAAAATAAATATGATAAAAAAGTAGAATTTCACGATCTTAAATTAAGGATATATCAAATATTTTTAAAATATTTTTTAATTGTACGATTTTAAATATATCGTGGAATGTTGAAATTAAAGAATAACTAAAAAAATAAAAACACATTTTGGTTGGACATATCTCGTGAAAATGGACTCTTTTTAAAAGATACTAACTCAGTGCATTAAACTCAAATACAAGAGAAACTAGAAAATAAGTATATCCAGTTATACTAATAAAGAAGTATTGTAAAATCTTTTAAAATATAGAAAATAACAACAGTAAAATAATATAAAATTATTCTTCTCTTTAATTTATAACTTGTAAATTGCCACAAAAGATCATTTCCCTTTTTTTTTCCTTTTGTGTCGTCTTCTTTCAATTTTGACAATAATAACAGGGTGGAAAAAAAGAGAGGAGAAAGGGCAACTTTGACTTTACATTTATAAATCATTTTTTAAAATTGGAATAGTTAAAAAGTGAACATAAGGGAAAATATCTAGCACTCGCTCATTTATTTTTTACCGGTTCATTTTAATTTTTACTTGTTATTTTAATAAATCAAGAAATACAATATTTTGTATTTAATATAATTTTAATTTATTTTAAAAATTATTGTTTTTGAAAAAGAGAGAATTAACTTTGTAATTTTACCAATTAATAGAAATAAAATAATAATTTTACTATGCCAATTATTATTTTCTTAACAGATGTATCAAGTCTTGGAAGAGTAAATAGGAACATGGAGTATCAATTAGATTTATTAACTTAGCGGACTTGAAATGAGGTATCCAATGTGGTTAATGTTATTTTGCATAATTATAAAATTGGATAAATGTGGCATTAAATTAATTTGGCGATAAAAAGGAGCACGTCAGCCACATGACTGGTGGTATTAGTTGGCCAATCCAAGCCAGCGACGCGTGAATTGACTGACACCTCGACACGTATTAGCTAAATACATTACGTTGGAAATTATTTATTTAATAATGATACACAATAAACAATGCGCCAGCTCACTCACCTCTCTCCCACCGATCCTTCCTTTCTTTTGCCATATCTTTTTTGCTACTTTTTTTTCTTCGAATATTAAAAATCCGATTAAATTTGAATTACAGATATTAAAACTTATTTTGAAGTGGTGTTTCAATAATATTTTCTCTATATTCAGTAAGAGTGAAATAGTTTTATTATTGAGTCACAATCCATGTTGATATCTCTTTTTGTTTCAATACATGTGACTACTGATTAGGGATTGTTTTGTTCAAGGAATGAGGGATAATAATTTCGAGATAACATATTCGGATTTATTTAAATTCTGCATCTGATTAGGTACTAATTAATTTTTGAGATTATTCGTCTTTCCATTCATATTATTAAAATATGATAAATTATCTTATATATATGAACGAAACTAATTCTATATATATATCTCAATCCATGGATAATTTTATTGATCACATTCACATATACCAAACGACCCTTAACACTGTTTGGAGGGTTGTTACATATTGTTTCATAATGTATCATATTGTATTGTATTATTTTAAGGAACACAAAATTTGAATAGATTGTATCATTCTCCTTCGTTATGTAATGTCACACATCCATAATTTGAAGGAAAAACCTCAAAAATAGAGTGCATGGTAGAGCTACGTACTATGAAAAGATGGGATAAAATTAAAAGATGAAATAGCATTATTAAATAATAAATAAAGACAAAATGAGAAGAAAATATTAAGATAATGACAGGATCACACTAAATTAGTTGTTACATAAAATGGGTCTTTTCTTTGCTACCTAATGGTGAATTTAAACGATACAATATAATAAAAATTAAATTACATTCAAAATAAACATTATATTTAAACTAACTATACAATACAATACAATGTTTAATGTTTGTATTCAGTTTATATTGTGCAAGCCCTATAAGAGTTGGGTGAGTTGAACATTTGTTCATTGCTTAGTCCACATTTAATTTAATTCAAGAAATCTTTATGAGTTATTGTATCTAAATATTAGTCACTCCATTTCTACATTCTCAGAATAAATTTAACCATCCATTTGATACCAATTTGAACCAATACAAACTTAGCAAAAACCATGACATAATGAGAGGGAAAAATTAGTTGGACTTAATTGAGAATACATGTTTTGTCTTTGTTAATCTCACTATCATTATTATTATTATAGGTCCCAATTTGTTTTTTGGACATTTTTTTAGCTATATTAAAGATCCTCGTACCGAAAAAGAAATATAGGGAAAAATTAGTCAAGTTATATATGAGTGATGAATATGTTAAAAGAATTATTTTAAATAAATTAAAAGGCAAATAAGTACTATATAATATTATAAATCACAAGTTGGTTAATAATACGAATTCATTAATGAGTGAGTGGTCTTATTCGAACTAGGGTTCCCTTTATTCAGTGTTTGAAAAAAAAATGAATCTATTCAAAAAGCATTTAGGAGCTCCTTTTTTGATACAAGAGGGAAATAGAAGTTATTAGCTTAATAAAATACTCCACTGTACAAAACGCAGAAAAAATATTTAAAGTTATTTTTATTTTGTATAATATTAACTTAAAATGAACTTTAATTATATACGTGTTTTCAAGCACCATATTTCTTCACAGACAGAGGTATACAAATAAATAATAATAAAAAACCCAAAAGCAAAAAGAGAAAGAAACAAGTAAAAAGATATTACATAGATAAAAATATGTCAATTCTATAAATTATATATTAACCTCAATTAGGGGTGTGCAAAAACCGATTTAACCAATAAATCGAACTGAAAGAAACACTATTGATTTATTGATATTGGGTTATTGGACTAACGGTTTTGCAAAATTTTTTATTGGGTTATTGGTTCGGTTTCCGATTTTATAATTTTTGTTAATGGTTAAACCAATAACCCAATAAGACTATACTAAATTTACTAGTCTTATTGTTCATGGTTAAACGATTGTTACTTTCACACTTTTTGTTAATGGTTAAACGATTGTTACTTTCACACTTTTTCCTTTGAATGTGTTTAGTGTCTAAACTTGCAAGAAAAATGATTGTTACTTTTATGATTATTACTTTCATGTCAAATGCTGAAAAAATCATATGGTTTATTTGAAAATTTTCTTATCGTGTATATAATATATATGAGTATTTTCTTATTGGTTAAACTGAAAATCGAACCGTTAAGTACCATAAACCGATTAACCAAAAATCGATAAGAAATATGTTATTGGTTTGGTTATCGATTTGAAGTATTTACAAACCGAAAATCGATAAACCGAACCAATAACACCTAAAACCGAACCGAACCGAACCGAACCGATGCGCACCCCTAACCTCAACTGAACGTAAAATCTTACGCTTGTTCTAATTAATATTAATGTGTATAAATTGATGAGAAAATATATTTGATCTAATCTACGTAAATGAACACTTAAAAACACATATCTATTTTTCTCTCTAAAATATGAGTCGAAAGTGACTAATAAAATTACTTTATCATAATTTTTTATGATTAACTAAATACGTTATATATTTCAAATGTCGGCATGAAATATATTTACAAATTTAACTAGGGCGGAGCCACCCTTTTAACTACGAATTCAATAAAATTGAATTGTTCTGATTCAAATCTTATATTTGTATTAAACCATTTCTTCAATAGATATAAATAATTATAATTTAAAATTCATAAACTAAAAATATTAGTACCCGACTTAAGAGTTTGAACTCATGCTTCCTTTTCAAATTTGGGTTGAGAGGCCACGTATGATATAACAGAACCCGTATATAGACGATTCAGGTATACCGCATATATAGTAAATATATAAAAAGGATAAGGGTCTGAAAAATATCTCAATTTTGGTCGAATTTACTATTGCGATACTAAACTTTCATAAGGACCTATTACCTCCCTAGACTATTTAATACCGTATTTTAAACATATATATTTGTCCATGTGGACATAAAAAAATAATGTAAAATTATAAATAGTAATGTGTTTACGTGGACACATATATACCTTTAAAATACACTATTAAATAGTTCAGGGGGTAAAAAGTACGGTATTAAATAGTCTAGAGAGGTAATAGGTCTCATAAAAGTTTAATATCGCAACAACAAATCCGATTAAAGTAAGGGTATTTTTCAGACTCTTATTCCTATATAAAATATGTATATAAGCTTTATTTAAAGTACGGACACGTGTTGAGTGACGTGGAATGTTGCCTTGGCGCTCCTCCTCTTTCTTCCCCCTTTCTGTTTCTCTCTCTACTATCTTTTGCTCACGCCACACGCCCTTTCTCTCCTTTTTTTTTTCAAGTTCCTTTTAGAGAGAGAAAGCATACACAAAGAATGCACAAACACTGAAACTTTTCACTACTAAAATTCGCCTTCTCTTCTACAGTTTTAAGGTATGTCAAATTTCTCTTTCTCACAAGTTTTTTTTTTTTTTTAGTTGAATAGAGTTTGATCTCTGTAATTCTCCTGAATTTTCTGTGCCGTATCTTTTGACACTTGTTAATTTTCGGGTACATAAGAAAAAGTTGAGTTGAGATATACTTGTAACTGGAAAACTGGGAGGAGAAGGAAAAAGAGTGACAGAGTGTAGCTGTGTGAAATTAAGAGTTTTAAGAGAATGTTATTGAATTTAGAGTAGTTATGGGGGAATATTGAATTTCGAAACGTAATTTGGTATTTCACCTACTTTTTTATTTGATGGTTACTGGGTGTGATTTGGGTGGTCTGACGGGGATAAATCTGTCATTAAATCATAAATTTTCTTGTAGATTCAAACTTTTGTCATGCTTGCGTCTTTACTCGGTTTCCTAGGTGGGAACTGCGAAGTTACTAATGTGCCCCTTACCTTTCTTCTTGCTCCTTGGGTTATGGGATGTATGTGAACTTAGCAATATAATGAGTATCCTGCTCTATTGTGGTATTGAGCAGAGATTATGGGGTGTAGATCCTGTTTGGAGTTTGAAAGCAAGTTAATTTACCAAGAAATTTACTTCTTTTTTGCCTGTTATTTCAATCCTTGCCTTGTGCTTTTGCCTGGCTCTGGGATGAGGCCTTATGCTACATGGAGGAAATCATCTAAGGGTATTGAGAGGTTAGAATTATATCTTTGGTTGGGGGAGAGAGAGTGGCCTTTGGATATAAACATGATAAAGATTTCACCTTTTCTTTTGTCCGATGATGATTTCACTTTCCATTACCACAAGTTATGTGGCCAATCAAGAGGGATTAAGTGGAACAGACGGATCTGGCTAACATTGAACTTGGTAAAATGAAATGGATTTATAATAGGAGAAAAGAAAGTCAGAGGTATTTACAGTAATGGCTATATAAGCTACTACATCAAGAAGAGGCTTAAGTTATCAATATTTTTTTACTATCTACTAGTGTGGTTTAACATGTTGTAGCTTATCCTTTCCTTGTTCAGCCAGTGGGTGGTATAAACAATTATTTGTAGTTAGTTTTGAAGTCAATGAACTTTACGCTATCACGTGTATACGAATTAATCCTGCATATAATTTCAAGCTCGGATGAACTCAGGAACACCAGTTGACAGATGAGTAAGGTGTTAAAAGTATTAATTATGGGCAACAACATCAATACATACATAATTTGCGAATGGTGTTTGGTGAGGTAAAAATAGTTGAAATTTAAATGGCCGAGTGGGAAAACTATAAATAACGTGTTTAATCTCCAATAAGACTAATTTCACAAGATAACATGCACGGTAATAGTTGGTTGGATTTTAGGTTCCGGAATCCGGAGGACAAATTTTCTCATAGTCTTGTCAATTTAGGCCTATGATAACAAAGTCAGCTAATTTCACAGGATATCTTGTACTGCTGCTTATTTAAACTTTTTACTTCTCGTTTTTCGTGGGAGAGGCAGGGAGCTAGTCTCTTTTTCTTATCTTTACTTTATTTAGTAGTCTCACCTAGTATATTTGCATATGATCTTATCCTTCCTTTTTACTATTATATGTTACCTAGTTTGCTTTGTTTATCTTGTTATTCTGCTATCAATATTTCCCTTTCCACCCTGCTTTGATTACACTTCTTTTGGGCCGAGGGTCTTTCGGAAACAACCTCTCTACCCCACAAAAGGCAGTGGTAAGATCTGCATACATTCTAGCCTCCCAAACCCCATTGGGTATGTTTTGTTGTTGTGGTGGTCATAGAAAGCCATCTCTGTTACCTCACATGGAATGGGATAAGATCACATGTGAAGACTGATCTGCAATAAAATATAGTAACTAGTATGCCAGCAGGCAATAAGTTCCGTCCAGTCTCCAGATGTGTGTTTCACGGCATAAGTACTCAAGTCTGTCAATCTTAAAAAATTCATGCCAGTGTCTGTTGCTATACTGGTTTCTGATGGTGATGCTATGAATATATTTGCTATGTTGGGCTCTGTCTAATATATTATATTTTCTTTTTACTGTTATAACTTGCAATGGATTAGAGAAAATTTGGAGAATCATATGTTTTCCCAGTATTCTAGCCTACATTCTCTATACCTTAATATATTTTTGAATAAAGTATGTTTTTGAATAGAGTATGGATTACTGTGTGGTCTGTGTATGATGTGACATTCTGTTTCTCTCTCTTTGACAGGGTTGCTTTTCTGTACTTAATTGGGACAACACTCTTATCAATGACTACAAAAGGAAATTCTGATTGCACCTCTAATTTAGTACGACATCTAATTGGTTCCTTATACATGGGAAACAGTGAGGATGGGAAATCCTGTAAGCTTGAGAAACCATCCTCGCCTGCACCAGTAAGCAAATTTGATTATGATTATTGGTTTAGTGCCTGTGAGTCATTTGACTTTCTTGACCCGTGATTGATACGGTCTTTGGCTCCATATGAATCAGTTTAGCCTAGATTTGTGCATATACATGATATATACTCTTCTATTCCTTTTATATGTTGTGAACTGTTTTAGAATTTCATCTCTGACTAGTCGGTTTTTAATCACATTGACAGGACCAGAGCAATCTCCATGTCTATCCGGATTGGGCAGCCATGCAGGTTAATAACTAAATAGTTTAATATTGAAAGTTGTAATGTTTTATGAATTATCGTAAGCGTTTAACTAGTTAATGTTTCAGGCATATTATGGTCCTCGAGTAGCTGTACCTGCATATTTCAATTCAGCAGTTGCACCTGGTCATACCCCCCACCCTTATATGTGGGGGCCACAGGTATTTTCCTGGCAGAAATGTTTCTGTTTTTGTTGTTGAACCATACTAATTGCTTTGCAAGGTAACTTATCCTCGGACTTCAAGTGCTTCATGACTAAATATGGTCCTTTACTCCCACAGCCTATGGTACCACCTTATGGTGCCCCTTATGCAGCAATATATGCTCATGGTGGGGTTTATGCACATCCTGGAGTTCCAATTGTGAGTTTGCTTTCCCAGAGTTCTATTTCTATCTTATATTAAATGTCACAAATGCTCCTTGATTTCTATTATTTTTGGCGAAGTTCTTTAACCTGGAATTTGTGATCAGGGCACTGGTGGAACGATAGTTAGAGCGCTGATATGTGTCAATGTTGCTGAACTTGACACTTAGATATGATATCAGATTTTGTTTAGACTTCAGGGCATTGACTAGCTACTTGGATGGATTGATTTCTTGTATGAACTGCAGACAAGTAACTTGTAGGACAAACTAAACAGTTTTAACAGTTGTATAACTAACTGATTCAGGAATTACCCTTGAAATTAAATAATAATCTTGTCAAGTATCTGCGTCATTATAAGCACACTAATCTTTTGGAATGGAAGTTGAGGTATTTTCTATGTCCCTTAAGATGATGATGCCAATAGGATCTCGTTTTGGTTGTGTTAGTCAGCTGAAAATTAACACATTGGGAATATGACTTCGTGTTCATCATTTATTGAAGTTTTTGTATAACCATTTGAACTACCTTTACTTGTTTCCTTTGTCTTTGGGGAAAATGGGATTTTTTTGGGTCGACTCCTTTAAGTGTTACATTTGTACCTAAGATTACTTCTTTTTTGACAATGCATGTATTCAGCATATGACTGCATATCTGCATAATGTTACACTATTGACAATGTATTGGCTCTCTTACTGATTGTATTTTTGTTTTGTTTTATTTTTTAAAAATAATTTCAGGGATCTCATCCTCCAGGTCATGTGATTGCGACATCTCCTGTTGTCAGCCAAGCCATGGTATGTATGCCAGTTTGTTCTTAAAGCCTTTCAGTATATATGAACTTATTTGTTTCCAGAATGGCGTTACGCTGTTGCTGTTAGTCACTGTATGACTCAGGAATTCAATAAAGGCTAAATCACTCTACATTGTGTAGGATGGTGCTTCTTTGAGTTTAGATGCGTCTGCCAAGTCCTTGGGAAATTCTGATCGAGGCTTGATGACTAAACTGAAGGAATTTGAGGGCCTGGCAATGTCACTTGGAAATGGTAGCACTGACAATGTTGAGGGTGGAACAGACAATGGACATTCTCAAAGGTCTGTTAGTTATCATTAGTATTAAAGATCATTTGTGTCACGCGAAAGGAAATCAAAGATCATTTTCTATTGCAAAAAAAAGTTAAAAGGTCTTGTTCAGTTATTTCAGTGCAATGCTCGACTTTCACAGAATCTGATTATTTTTCAATTCTGGTCTGCATTATGGACAATATTTTGTAATTTTTCTTCTTGAACAAGTTAAACCAACTTTCTGTTTTCGTGTTGTGTCCAGTGGGGAAACTGAAGGTTCAACTGATGGAAGTGACACAAATGGAGCTGGGGTTTGTTCTTTTCTGATGATAAATCTATGCATCTCAATTTAGTAGATTCATTTGCATCGAATGGAAGCAGTGGATACTGATATTCTTCTTCTTGTATTCTAGGTCAGTGAGAGAAGTAAGAAAAGGAGCTGTGAGACAACTCCTGATAACTGTAAGAGTTTAATCTTTCTCAGTTCTTTATTCAATTGACAGTGTAGAAGAGAGAAGAAATAGTGAAAGAACTCTGCATCAGGCTGAAATTTCTTTCCAATTTCCAATTGTTTCATACTTGAGTATTTTATGGAGGCTTTTGACTATTTCCGTATGCATCAAGCAAAGAAAGTACTTATCTAGTCACGTGACATTGCAGAATGACATAGGGCATTCTTGATTAAAGGTTTGTAGCTTTGATGAATTCAGCGTTTAACCTCTAAAAGAAATGTCTGGGAAGTGATGTTGATCAAACTTCTGGACCTTTTTCTTCTTGATATTTTCACCTACTTCTGGTTTTAGCGTGTATTTGTTATGTTGGGGGACTTATTGTGTATTCATCAACATTATTTTCCACATTGCGCTATAGATATTAAACCTTTTTTTTATAACTGTTATCTTTTCTGGATTTATATACAAAGTAATTTGCTTGATTTCATTTTCTGATCTGTCAGTTCTTCGATTTTAAACAGCTGGTGATGATAAGAGTCACTCACGAAGATGTCAACCTTCTGGGGAAGTAAATGATGATGGTGAGAAGGCAATTGTTATTGCAGCGAAAATGACGGGAACAGTACTTTCTCCTTGCATGACAACTTTGGAAATGAGAAATCCTGCCAGTGCACATATGAAATCTAGCCCAACTAATGGTTCACCACTCAGCCCTGCACTGCCTAATGAAACCTGGTTACAGGTATATAGCACAAGTACCAGGTGAAATTTTATTTATTTATTTTTTCACAGCGACCTCCACATGTCTGTATGATTCTTCCTGAATTTTCTAAGAATGTTTTTCCCGTCTGAATCTAATTCCTACCATATGTAACTATGTTCAGAATGAGCGTGAGCTGAAGCGGGAGAAAAGGAAACAGTCTAATCGGGAATCTGCAAGGCGATCGAGATTGAGAAAACAGGTAAGAGGGTAGTGTGCATACGGCATATAGAAGCAATGGTTATTGATACATTTATGTAGCCGATGTTTTAAGTATGGCTAACTACCATTCTAATCTCTAAACTGTTCCTTATTTCTCTCTCCCTTCAGGCTGAAGCTGAAGAATTGTTAATACGAGTTCAGGCTTTAACAGGAGAGAACTTGACACTCAGATCCGAGATTAACAAATTAATGGAGAACTCGGAGAAACTGAAGCTAGACAATGCTGCTTTAATGGTATAAGCTTGTCCCATTTCAGATTCTCTTGGCAGTTTCTTTTACCAATTGTTGAATCATTACCCTATAGGTTGTGTTTGGAATGTTAATCCTTGTTTGGGTTGCACAGGAGAGAGTGAAAAATGAAGAGCTAGGACAGACAGAAGAAGTGAGTTTAGGTAAGATTGATGATAAGAGACTGCAACCTGTAGGCACAGTAAACCTGCTAGCAAGAGTGAACAACTCAGGTTCCTCGGATACAACAAACGAGGAGGGTGAAGTTTATGAGAACAACAGCTCTGGAGCAAAGCTTCATCAACTACTTGATACCAGCCCCAGAAGTGATGCAGTAGCAGCTGGGTGATGAAGGAAGGGTACAACCCTTACTTTAATTTGAGATGTTAAAATTTAATCTGATTGTGTAATTTTGGCGTAATTTTAAGTCCAAAATTACTGCTAACTACGGGAGAGGAACAGCTGAATAGGATTACGGAAGTTACAAGATTTCTACCTAATTGTAGTTTACAGGTCAGTAGAACCGATGTGTGCTCTTTTTCTCATTTCTGAGTTGAATGTGGCTATAATAGCGTATGTAAAGTTTAATGTTCGACACTTGACTATGGAACCGAAATGTTTTGGTTTGGACGATGAAAGTGAGCTTCATATTTGATAAATAAATGTAGTATGTTTATGATGTTACTGGTTCCTTAGTTGGACAAACTATTCTTCTTCTCTAACCATCAATAACTAGAAGATTGTAACACTCTTTTATCTTGCTTAGTATATAATACTATAATGTTAATTCCAATTACCCCCTTCTTTTTATCTTCATAATGTAAAGTACAGTAATTTGGAATAGGGAGGTGCATTTGCAAAGAGGATGAAGGACTTTGTTCAGAGAATAAATGTGTTGTACTATGATTACAAATTACGATATTAAAATAATTTAGAGAACATGTATGACAAGTCTATGTACTCTGTGAACATGACAGATCTAAACAATTATTTCTTATTTTAGCTAAGACTAGATGAGGAGTGTGTATGTATATTTTATGGGCCAAAGTTAGAGAAGCACATGGTAAACTATAAAACACTCCCATGCATGCACCAATTATTTAAAAATATTGGCTTCCATACCTTTTCCAACTTCTTAATTTTATTACTATGATTTTGACCTTATTATATATGACAATGATAGATTATATTCTTTCTATGTGATTAATTAATTAACCAATCAAATATTGACTGAGACGTCAATCTGTCCCCACGTATAGATGATTCATGTCAAGCCACATATATATGATTGACCAAAAAACTGTTGAACAATCACAAGGATCTAATGTGAGTGTAATATTAGCCATTGAAACTTTAATCCGAATTAGTTGATATTTGCTTATATGGTCTTTTGTAATTAGGGTCGGAGTTAAGGGTTCATTCGAATTCTCTTAGCTGAATTTATATTCAATTCACTTACAAGAATCCACTTTACTATCATCCATTTTATTTTGAATGAACACAAAAAAGATATAATAACAAAAAAAATGAATTTTCTTAGGATGAAAATGTGAATTTGAATAATAATATATGGGAGAACTTTATACGTACAAACTAGCCAAAAAATGTATATATATATTAATTGGCTAAGTCTTTTTTATTCCCAACGATTAGTTTTTTCTTTTTAAGAGAAAGAATTAGCTAGTGGTAAATCGTTCAAAGCTTATCAACTTACTAAATAAGAAAAACTATGATTTAAATGGATAAACGACCATTTGACCTGCGTTTGTTAAATTGGACAAGTTGATATATATATATATATATATATAAAAAAAAATCTCTTGACTTCGTGAGTTCATGTACTTATTTATTTATATTTTAATTTTTGAGTGAAAATTCTACTTTTGCCATTGTTCGTAACCATCATGCATATTGTCCTCTTTTTTTTTTTGGTTTCCCACCCTGTGTTCAGAACCCACATTGGAGCTCCGACTAAATTCGGATCGCGCTCTGCAGGGCACATTCGGGGGTGGCGCTCCCAACATGATTTTCTCCATACTCAGGGCTTGAACTCAAACCTCTGATTAAGGGTGAAGCACTCCCACCAGTGCACCACAACCCATGTTGGTATGCATATTGTCCCCTATGAGTTGTTTTCTTTTCCTTTGGAATTAAAATGCCATTACAACCACATGAATAGGAAAGAATATCCACAAGCTTCAATTTGTCATTTGAAAAAATATTTTCGTAGCAAGTGATATAAGTATATTAGCATATTGTAATAGGAAAATCCGAAAAAATGATTGAAACTTTATTTCCTAGTCATAATCCAACGTGTTGTGTGTCAAACATCATGTGTTGTGTATGTGTGTTTTGAGACGTAAGAATTGAAAACTGAAGTTGTGAGTCATTCATAGCGCCAAATGAAAATTTGCTACCTGTATTTATGAGCGCAGCTATTCTCTTTGACGTTGAGGATTCAATTATTGCATCGTTTCGTTTGATTCATATACTAGTTATTAATTATTTATTATGCGTGATTGATCGATAATGAGAAGAGTGCTATGCATTGAGTAATAAAGAGAATACTCATATTACACGTGAATTACTTGAAAATGACATTCTATATCGCATTACTCGCACGCATAAAATAATTCATAAATACCCAATTACCGAATTAATGAGATTTCTTAAAATAATAATTCACCTATTATTAATTACTATCACTAATCAATCAAGCATTATGTCCATAAGTTATACATATATATGTCATTATTTTTATACAACCAACTAGATATGTATTGTATTGTGTTATGTCAAAATCATTTTAGAAATTAGTTATTTAATTACTACCACCAATCAATCAAACACTATCATAGTTGAACATCTTTTGAGTTAAAAATCAAAGTTGAATGAATTTGTGTGAAAAAGTTCATAGAGTAACTTTTGAGTTGAAAAAACAAAATTGAGTGACTTTTTATGAAAAACTTTTATTGTTAAGTGACAGTCAGAGATATTATCTCATTATTTCAATATCACCAATTAATTGCGAGACCTTTGTCAATAATTAATACCCCAGATTTTGGATCGAGTATTTTTACGTTATTTTATTATATAGACCATTGATAAAAACAAGATCTGTCTAAGTTAAGACGATATTTGAAAAAAATAATCATTCAATGTCCAACCACAAATTAAAGTCAAATTATGAATTATTCAATAGGTACACCGTACACTGTCATATGTCTAGTAATAATATAGAGTATTATTACTTAGCTAATTTAAAGTCAAACTTTATGTATATACACTATATAAAAACATATTTTTTAAAGTTTATATCTATCTTGAACATGGCACAAATCTAAAGAAGTACTATTTCTTTTTTTGATGAGGAAACAATAATGTCTGATATTTGATGGGCAAAAGTTGGAGAAGCACATGAGACTCTCATGCACAAGACAACGCACCATATTTTTCAATAAAAAAGATTGCTTCATAAATATGCTTGTCTCTATGTCTTTGTGATGATTTCCACCTTCTTTTTTTTATAAAAAATAGGTTGTTTGCGATAATCTGTGCGTATCTTAATTAATTTTATTAAATACTTAGTAATATTTCTTATAAGCACGTCGTATGTATCAATAATAGCAAAACAAAGATTTTTACCAAGGAATCACATCAAAATATAAAAAAATCAAAGAAATTTAACGTATAGTATGAAAGATCTATATATTATTATTTTACAAAACAAGCTTTATTATTAAATATTGAATAACTCTATTTATATAATTATAATATATTTTTTCTTGCTTATGTCAAAAATTAAAATTTACAACCTCACGATTTTCTAACCGATCATTTTTTATTGATTAATATGTAACACCTACATATGATGTTGATGCCCATGAAATTCGAACTTCATTTACTATGATTTTGACTTGCATAAGACAGATGGATAATATTCTTTTTGCTATAATTGATCAATCATTTAATTGAGTCTTGGTTGTATATGAACTTACGTATCTATTTCGCTTTATTCACATGCATACACTACATATTCATGCATGTACTATTACAAAATTTCTCTTATATTTATCTTTATGTGATGATATAGATGTGGTCACATCAACGACTGGTGTTTGGTATGATCGAAGATATTTTTCGTGATTTATTTTAAAAATTAAGTAATTTTCTCACATTTTTTCATACAATGTTTAATATGTGAGTAACAAAAATTGTCTTAAACATATTTATATATAATATTGATAAAATATGATTGTGGAGTGTAGGGCCGTCTTAATCCCTAGGCCACTAAAGTCATCGCTTGAGGTTTCATATATTTTGGGGCCCTCATTTTTTTAAAACAATTACTTATATATGTTATTTTTTAAAAAAAATTATATGTACTATGAGTGTTAATTTCGTAAGAAACAATTTGATGAAAATATGGATAGCGAAATCACAAAGTCCCTTGAAGAATCTTTTAGAGTTAATTGCTTTATATATGTAGAGTAGATCAAACTATTTTTTCACTTCAAAATAGATTTGAACCAATTGAAGCATATGAAAATATTTTTGATTTCTTATTTAGTGGTAAAATATTGAGATCACTACATGATCTCATAAAAAAAAATATTGTCTTAACCTTAACTTTCTTTAACACGTATCATATATTTTGGGGCCCTCATTTTTTTAAAACAATTACTTATATATGTTATTTTTTAAAAAAAAATTATATGTACTATGAGTGTTAATTTATTAAGAAACAATTTGATGAAAATATGGATAGCGAAATCACAAAGTCCCTTGAAGAATCTTTTAGAGTTAATTGCTTTATATATGTAGAGTAGATCAAACTATTTTTTCACTTCAAAATAGATTTGAACCAATTGAAGCATATGAAAATATTTTTGATTTCTTATTTAGTGGTAAAATATTGAGATCACTACATGATCTCATAAAAAAAAATATTGTCTTAACCTTAACTTTCTTTAACACGTAATAGTTATTCTGATATTGATGATCTTGATTAATTTTTTGAATTAAAAGTGTTAAGGGAAACAATACAATTAGAAGATAATGATCTAATGAAAATCTCCATTCTAATAAAAAGACTTGATTCTTTTCCAAATACACATATTGCTTATAGAATAATGTTAACAGTTCTTGTAACCATTGCCTCAGTCGAAAGAAGTTTTTTCTAAATAAAAAAATGATTAAATCTTCTTTAAGATCAACAATATAATGTTCAAGAGAGATTGAATGAATTAGCTATATTATCATTTGAAAAGAAATTATTAAAACAAATTGATTATAAAATAGTACCTAATGACTTCGCATCTAAAATAGCTAGAAAAGTAGATTTTAAATCAAAGTATATATGATGAAAAAAATTAAATATTAGGGCCCCTCTCTTAAGTTTCATTTGAGGTCCTCAATGTTGTTTAGTCGGCCCTGATGGAGTGGGGTGGTCAAGGAGGCCATGGAACTT